CCGGGCAGCGGTACTATCGCCTACTCTTATATCTGCCAAGGTTTTTTTTTACGTGCATTCCAATGTATACACGGGACCTCGGGTTTTCGTCTCATCCGATGGACTAGACAGCTGTCCTTGTCAGGCCCTCTGTTCTGCACCACTGACAAGGGGAAACCACGTCGGAAAAACCATTTTTAGAGATTTTTAAGATGTATAATAATCTAGCTAACATTATATGGGCCAGTGCTTGGACTGTTAATTACGTGCCAGTGATTGGACTTGCAATAATTCGTTTTTGTTTCTCTAATCTTTCTGATTAAAATAAAATGTTCATTACGTTTATTTTTTTTTTTTTTTTTATTTTTTTTTTTTTTTTAATACATTGTTATCTTTTACTTGTAGACGGTGTTCAGATCACGTGATCTTATTGACTAATCAAATTGTCTATTTTTGTTTACGGGGACTTCGGGTTGTTGCAAAGTATTTTAATATAAAAACCCACGTGGAGAGAGAGAGAGAGAAATGGGGTTTAACGTCCACTCGACACAAACTAGGTCATTTCGGGACTAACACATGGTTTAATTTTATTTTAGCAGTGGGAGGAAACCGGAGGACCCAGAGAAAACCCACGAGGTTGGACAGGCGACCCTACTCCTTGCAACGTACAACCGGGGATTCGAAATCACGCCAGTTGACTCAATGACAGACTTTATCGTACAGGGCGCACGTGCTAACCATTCAGCCACCCAACCCCCCAAACCCATGTGGACATAAGCCTGAATCGTATTTGTTTTTGGATATGAAATTATTAGTTGATATACATGGAACTGTCACTGCCAGAATTAACAACAATAAACATAATGAAATTGTAACGTTAGATGTACTAGTGTTTTGCCCGGCGCAGCAGGGGTATTGCCATGAACCGGAAGTAGCAGAACTCCGAAACCGGAAGTGGTAGGCCATCGTCACCAGGCCTATGTTAGTCCCCGGTCGGTCCGAGCTACCCCTATACACCACATTTCAGTCTCGGGCCCGCCAACCCAGCAAAAACAGACAAACAAACGACAGTCACAAATATTAGTATATAGAGAGAAATGGTGTTTAACGTCTACTCGACACAAACTAGGGTATTTCGAGACTAGCATATAATACGTAGTGGTCTTCTGCTGTGCGAGTAAACACCGGGGGAATCGGAGAATCTCGGAGAAAAACCACGAGGTTGGACATACGACCCTATTCCTTGTTACGTACAAGTGGGGATTCGCTTATGATCTAACGTGCACGCGATACCCCCCCCCCCCCCCGTATATACTATAGCATTAAGAATTGGTTAGAGTTGTAAAATGATACACTCTATTCATTCCGTTTCATTTCCTTTTCGCCGTGTTAGACCCATATCCTTGTTATTCTGACAGGTATAGACCACACTCCCAAGACCCAGAAAACAAACTGCAAATACCAATTGACAATCCCGACAAATTGTTCTTTAAACAAAGCGACCCCCAGTCGAACTATCCAACTATCGACCCTTCCCACCTAGGCCATCATTAAAACTCCTAGTTAAAGCTAGTATTAAAGAAGCGCGACCCCTTTCTAAATACCCGAGCCTCTACAACCGTAACTACACACCTATCGATCCATTGATGACCATAAACAGTCTATAAAACTTTATTTTATCAAGTTCGTATTTGTCCGCGATATCTCCTGTAAAATTTCTATTCAAATGTGACAATGAGATGAAAATGCTCGTTACCATTGCTTGGGAAAATATACACACCCATTGGTCTACTCCCTACTCCTTTAGTACAATCCTTGATCCTAAACATTCAGGATCGATTTCAAACGTATACCAAAGTTCTAGGAGGGGTTTTAGGTCATAAGGTCTGTCGTTGTGGTTTGATTGCAGGTTGTACGTGACAAGGAGTAGGGTCACCTGTCCAACCCCGTGGATTTTCTCAGGGACCTTTGGTTTTCTCTCACTTGCCAAAGAATCCTACGCGCATGCGAATGTTTTAAATAAAATTGTAACAAATGTTAGTCTCGAAATGATCTAGTTTGTGTCGGGTGGACGTTAAACACCATCTCCCCCTCTCTCTCTCTCTCCTAATATTTGAAGTCGGTATTTACACCATTTGTTTGACAATGCATTAACGAAAACCGGTTAATACTAAACACGTTTGACTGAATCTCGCTAATGGTATATTTATTTTAAATACAATAACTAGCTCTTATATATTAAACACCCCAGAGTTTAGTCGTCTGTTGGACACAAAATTTAACCAGGCTTTTATTTAGAGAGACTTGTCGATTCTATAAAAGTTGACTATCGGTAAATAGCAAGTAAACAAAGCTCTATTGACAAAGTCACGGTCTTCTCTATGCACTAGGGGTTGTCGCGCTAATGAGTGTCGACTTGAGTTCTATTTAGAACAACGTAATCTAGGTGTGTTCCGTTCAGTCAATCATTTTGATTGACATTCAATACGGCTTCTGGTATCCCAATTGTCGCTCTGTGTTGCTATAAGGACAGGCTGGTGTCGTTCACGAGGCAGACACGGTTTCATGTTTCTAGACGATGTGATACCTGTGTCATACACTATTAAATCTGCTCTCTCCAGCCCATGGTGACGGGTCACGGTGGCTTACCCACTAAGCCACGTGATCCCCCTAACCCAAACAAATATGATCATAATTCGGTTTGAAACTACTTTCTGCAAAGTCAAAGAGTAAAAATTACTTAATGTATATAAAGTATTGGGTTAAACGTACATTATGCAAGAGCTAAATCTGCCTATTGCAGGTTTTTCTTTAGACCTGAAATGTTATCTAAATTATTAATTAGACATTAATTAACTTATCCAGACCATAATCAACTATCGATGTCATCGCTAGCCTGCGATGTTTATTGGATTAGGTTCCGATTTGCTGTTCGACTTCCATTCATAATTTAATCGTGATATGGATAATCGAGACTATGTTTTTATCGTACCGACTTTAGTAATGATGATCGATGCTAGGCCGAAAATTCAATCGCTAAAATCCCAGTATCTAGTTTTTAACCATTATAGTCAGAACTGCCATCTCCATATCTAATCTCCCATAATGTATCTTTAAGTAAATAACGGAATCCCTGTGACCTAAAGCGACTTTTAAATACACAAATTCAACTATGAGTTGTTCAGATTTGATTAACGTGGCACGTTAGACTTTAATCCTGAAATTTGCGTCGTACTTTTATCAGTTCTTAACCAGTTTCAGGATGCTCTGTGGTTCAGTGCTTGAAAAAGTCTGGAGAAGCCTGATCGGAGCACCACTCAGCACGCTGTATTTCACGTATTTGCGGCCATGGGATGGTTACATATTCGTTTCAATATTACAGGTCATTCCGATAAATCTCAGAGCTTAATTATGCTGGCTTTAGCAGCACATTCGTGGGGAGAGAGAGAGGGGGAGGGGTCCACTCGACACAAACTAGGTCATTTCTGGACTAACATATGGTTCAATTTTATCTCAATAATTCGCTTGCGCGTAGAGGTCTTTAGCAGCGGAAGGAAAAAAACCCACGAGGTTGGACAGGCGACCCTACCCCTTTTCACGTACAACCGGGGAATCGAAACCATGCCAGGTGACTCAATGACAGACCTTATGATACAACGCACACACGCTAACCATTCGGCCATTCCCCCCCCCTCCCTCGTATATAACATAGACAATAAAATAATTTACAATATAATATCATCCAAAGTAACTTATAGGTATGTTACACACGTAAAAAAGGAGGAGGTACTACAGGCAGTTGGGGCACCTGGCTCACAACTCGATTCCACAGGTTGCCGACAAGCTTCGCGGACAGGGCAAGATATGGAATTTTGGGGATGGGATCAAGAAAACGTGTACTTTTTTGTCATATTATCCTTAGGCATGTGATCTGATCGAAGAAGCAATATGACAAGAAGTAATCCTTAGGATTTTTATAGGTCTCGTGCAGGAAAACAATCCACAGGGTTGACTTGTGGATAATAAATTAAATCGACCTATATTGCAAGTGTTGGACGACGCAATTTTGAAAACGATGCGAGTGAATTTATCACAGTAATAGTGGATTAGAGAAGAAAAAGTTGAAGAGACCAGAAAAGGAAGGTACCCACAGAAGAATGGATAAACATTGCCAGAATTTGTCCCTTGAATTCATGCAGACGGGTTCGTGCCTTATCAATTCAAGGGAGACAAATCTGTTTTACCGACGCTCATTTGGGGTTACCGACCCTTTTCTAACGGAATGAGAATTATCAGTTTCAGAACAATTCTTCAGCCAATCCAAGACTACGATAACCTAGCGAAAACCAGGCACAACACCCACCTCCATTGCTTTTCCGAGTTCTAGTCAATCCCTTATATCCCTGTTCCATAAATATAAACCCCATACGTAATTAGGGGAGCCACGGTGGCTTTGTGGGTAAGACACTTGTTCGCTAGTCTGCAGGTCGCGTGTTCGATATCTGCATTCGCCGAGAAAGTTCATCGGGGTGTTCCGACGTGGTTTCTCCACGACGGAGGGCCTGATAAGGACAGCTGTCTAGTCGTTCGGATGGTACGACAACACGAGGCCCCGTGTACACATTTGACGTGAACAAGGTCCATCATCAGCATTGTCTGCTGGTCACAGACTGTGACACATTAAGCATGTTGGATACTGCTCGCTGTGTAGAATCCATTTGAAGCATGCCAATAGCACGTAGTCTTTCATCACGTTGAAGACCTCTCATTGCAAATTAAACGTAACACGCTAAAGCAAAGATACGCTAAACAGTAAATCTTATGCAAGAACCGATAGGAAAGCAAACATGGATAGGATAAACCAGCACGCGGCAGTTTTCATCAACCCTTCCTTGAAGTGTTAAATTTGACATTGAACCCCTCCCACGTGTATGGCGCTATTGGGTGTCCCACATCCAGCTCAGTAGTTCTATTGGGGCGATAAGTTCTCTGTGAATATACTCTCAAAGCATGTCAAGTGTCCATGACTATTTATATCATATCACAACCTGCATAGGTATTTTCATTTCAATATCCACTACTTGTTTTCAAGAGTATATATAGTTATTGGTGTACATGAAGAAAACACTATTAGCCTTATGTATCAAAGCTGTAACCCTTCTATATCAAAATTATAACCCTTCTATTTCAAAAAAATTGGTGTGCGGATTTTGGTTATTCTGAAAAATTTTGCTTGGTCTGCATTCATAACTAAAAGCTGAACAATCATTTTTAAAGTATTTGCTCAACTGGATTAAATACTTCTTTTCAACTTTGCTGTAAGCTTCGAATAAGGACAGTTCGCGGTTTTTGCGACGCGATTCTCGACTTCCGGAACGTCTTGAAGCATTTTGAAACACTGCTAATATTTGACTGCGAGTTATTGTCTCCTCTTCACCTTTCTTAAAAGGGTATTTGACGTCACTTCCTATGATTCCCCTAAGTTGCAAATTCCGCCATTTTCTTTTAAACGCCTCTTCATGAGTTACACATTTCAGTGTTCCTTCTTTCGAGAGATAATTCATCAAATTGTTCGTACTGCTTTTGATAGCATCAATCTCCACACTTTCTTTCATTGCTTGTAATACCCCAGACATTACTAACTGGGTCAAGTTTAGTCTGCCCAGAACATGCAAAGTGTCCCGTTTAAATGTTTCCATTTTACCTATGATGTCATATTTTACGGCGCAAGGACTACACACGTTTGAAATAGGAATAAAATGACTGTCCTTCACGGCGCTTGGTTTTACGACGTAACGAACTAACTCTGGAAATGTGACATCATGCCCACAAGATAAACTTTTATTACTCGGGATTTTCCGTACAACTTTGATAACCCTTCGTCCGTACCCTGACCAATATATTGGATTTATGTCAAACAGTTTATTGGCGTAAGCGGACAAAAGACGAGAATATGGCTCACGGACCATAATAAACTTTAAGGAATTTCGTATTACCGTTGTTTCTTCTTTTATTGCGGTGTAATTTTTACTGTAAATATTTTCTGAAACATTAAATGGGTTATTTGTTTTAGAGACGCCATTCAAAATTAAGAACAAACGTAGCCAAAATGTGGATCCTACTTTTGCCACTGGACAATATAAAAACTTCTTCTCTGGGGAATACATTAAATTCCTTTTCATTTTTTTCAGTGTGCTCTTCGTGGTGTTTTGAGAAACTTGTCGATGACAGAAATTACTCATATTATTCCTTCTTTCTGACAATTCTAGCTGTATATAATCTGTTGGTTTAGACTAAACAAAAAGGAAAATCATATTTTTTTTTTAATTAAAGAAAGAAATGTGATGGAAAATCGCAATGGAAATAGAAATGTAAAATGTCTTAATTGATTCTATATAAATTAAGGATAATGTGGCCATTTGAGACTGTTGGGTTGTATCATAAAATACCATGTGAAAATAATTTGTATATAAGGCTGATTTTACTTACCCGAAATAAATTAATCGTTTGAAGAATAACATTGTTTCCTGCTGGAATAATAAATTGAGAAGAATAAAAGTCTAAACGAAATTTTTGTTATTAAAATTATTTAAACTGCCCGAGAAGATCGTCTACCCGGGCCCTTAAATTCGCAGCTAATCGAAAGAATATGTTATATGTAACAGCATGTAATACCAAGGTTGAGGACCTTTCTAGAGATCACAATCTTGATCCGATTTGGATAAAACTGAAAATATATGTTTACTAGCAGGATATCCGGCTTCGCTCGGGGGTCATAACCCCGAAACCGGAAGTGGTAGACTAACGCCACCTGGCCTTTGTTACTCCCCGGTCCGAGCTACCCCTATACCCCAAATTTCAGACTCGGGGCAGACCTAGTGTAGCCGCCAACCCCGAACAGACAGACAGACAGACAAACAGACAGACAAACGACAGTCACAAATATTAGTATAGACATCCCAATGATCTTGGTTCTGGTCGATATTGGCATGTATTTGAACGTAACTTCATGGAGAATGTCATAGAGTTTTTAACTTGTTCTCTGTCCATCGCTTGCAAACTGTTGACGTATCGTGCATGACAACAGCTTGTTTAATTGTGCAAAAAGAAACATCTAATAATAATGTATATATTTAAATTATATAGAAGGAAATATATAATAATAATACCTATATTTAAATTGAACTTACCTGACGAAGAAAATTCATAAATAAACAAATTAATTAGAAACGTGATTCCAATAAGTAATAAAAATGTTCTTCCGAATCTGTTAAACTTCATGGCTATGCTAAATAACTCCTGCATCTGTTACTAACTACATGTAACTGAAGTTATCAAGAACACCGATTTAAACAATAGTTCTTTCACAGTATCTACTCGGGGCTGCATATGAGTTTGATTATCGCGTCTTATTGATCAGCATTTATGACAAATATGATATATAGCTATGTTCGTTTATCAACGATTCTAGGTTCCACGCAAGAAATTTGATAAACAACTGTTAGCTCTTAAATTTTACCATATTGTTGATTATTATATATATTTCACTCATGATACGAATTGTGAAACCTGGTGGCAGTGTAATAATGACTAACTATAGTTTTTTTTTTCAATTCATAAGAGATAAATATCACCCTAACCGAGGGTTGATATGTGAAATGCCGTGGGTCAGTATAGGATATTAACCTACCCGAGGTTGATATGATAGAGAACACGCGGGCGAAGCCCAAGTTTTCTCTATCATATCAATCCAAAGGAGAGAAGGTTTATATTTGACATATACAACGTCATAGTTTTAATCACCCTTAAATTAAATGGACTCTTCCATTAAAAGTCAACAATGATTCGATAATTGCCAAATAACGAAAATTACCGAATTAATCACGTGAAGGCATTGTTTATACTGCCGCCATTTTGGATTGGATAAGTACAATTAAATTGAAAGCAAAAACAAAATGGATAGTAATACGTTATCAGACGAATAATCAATTCTTTTTAGCCAAAAGATTGACGGTGGAATAGATATGAATGCAAATTCTGACGAGGATCTGCTGCAAGTCAAAGGCTGAAGAAAATTGGATCAAAGGGTAGGGTGGCCCGAGCTAAAAAATAAACCTCTCGAAAACTATTTACAGTTATGGCACTATATCTATATAAGCAACAACCCTAGATGATCCTTTATTATAAACTGTCAAGAAACTGTACCTGCGTGCTACAATTCCTAAGATATATCCATTCGACTGTCCGTTAAAATACACTGCCTTTGTGTACCAGCGGCGGGCATATTTATTTTGGATTTTGGAGGCAGACCACCATTAAATTTCATCATCTCAAAATTTTGGTGGTCAACCTCATACAAATTTTAGTGCAAAGACATGACCATTTGTTCCTCTGTCTGTAGTGAAAAGCATTCAGCCCAACGAAAATGGGCAAAGAGGCCAGAATTAACATTGAAGTCAATGGGGAAATTAATGGTGGTCTGCCTCCTTTTCAATGTTAACGGAATTATGTTCTCTTGGTCATTTAAAATTATTGATTTCTTTTCCGAAAAGAATGAACCATCACTACCATTCGGGACTATTCGTTTAAATCGTAATTTGCTATCTGACGAAATCTGCTGCATGATTCGATTGAATTTCAGATCTCCGAACGTGCGCAAATCAGCTCAGTTTTTGGATCGGCCATTCCCGTTAATGGGTGCAGTTCAATTTAAATTTATTTAAGTTTTTGTAGATATATTAGACCAATCTATTTATATTTGCTGCATACCCATAGACACATAGGTCTATTTATATTGGTATTTATATGTGAATGCGCCTTTGTAAATTTATATTTGATGTCCCATTTAAGAAATAATTATCGGAAGTATGTTTATTGAAGAAAAGTTTCATGGAATAATTAGAGTATTAAATAAATAATGACAGACTATTTTAATCAATCTGAATGAAAAATATGCAATAGCTGATTAAATTATGTGCAGATTTGAGATGTACATCGACATTTTGAAGTTGGGTTTTAATAAGTGAATACAAACTAGAAGATACATAATTAAGAACAAATTCAAATTCGGGATCACGTTCCTTCTTGTATGATAGCATTTACACAAGAATAAATATGCTGATTATATTAATATATATTTACTATAACTTTATAGGGACTGGAAGCGATCGATAACATTAACACAAACACATCTCATCGTGACCAACGCCCTCTAATCAACTTGCCTGTATGTTAGATCTTCTTTCGTAACGGTATGTCGTCTATTACAACACCCTTAAATCATATACATTTATTTTATGTACAGTAGAACATCTGTCTTGGCAGATATTTTTTATAAAACGCTCAATTTAGTAAAATGATAATGTCCTAACTTTTCTTTCATATATCACAACAGTAAATAGATGATAGATAATTATAAATACTTGTATATACATATTGTATATAGCTGTATCTACTGTATGTTAATGTTTGTTTTGCCATCACATACTATTATATAATATTATATTAGTCTATTCCCTGGAAAAAGCTTCATAATTTTTATAAATTGTCCTAATCCCTTTGAAAATTATTTGCAATAAAATATGTTTAAACCAAACCAGTAAGTAACTACAAATACATTCTGAAATGGAGCCGCCCTCAATCAAGTAACGAGACAAACATGGCTTCTAAAAATAGATGTCTACATCTTGAGGCACTTCCTCCCTAATACAGTGTTTTGAGAGGGATTTAAAGCAAATATTTGATAGATTAATTAGTTTTAATAGTTAATTAATATGTTTTTAGCCCAAATATATCATCACATCATACAGTTTGTACATGGGAAGTCATCTCTAATTTAAACATTTAAGATTTTAACTTAATCTTTAAAGCTGCAATTTCATATTTTAAGTTATATTTTTAATATGTTTTAAAATAAAGCCTTTAAATCGATGTATAAACAGTCCTACCTTGTTAAAGAATAATCCTATTAATCCTAAAATGCACTATTGCCATTTTAAACTTCAAATTCAAACGTTTGAGGATAGGTATTCCATGGTAGGGAATAGAAAAACAAGGGAGGTAATTAGGAGGTAATTGTGTTATTATTTCCGGTGTGAAACATTTTTGAGTGTGAGAATGATAACTATGATCGTATAATAGTGAGTTGACAATCTATTGAGCAAAAGACATAGAAATAATTATGTTTTGACTTTCTTAGAAAATATGAAATTGTAGCTTTAAGTTATTAACTTAAACTTTTAAGGACTTAAAAATTTTTAAGATATTAACTAAAACTTTAAAGGTATTAACATAAATGAACTTAAACTTTTAAGATATTAACTTAAACTTTTAAGATATTAACTTAACCTTTTAAGATATTAACCTAAACTTTTAAACTACTAACTTGAATTTCTAAATACTAACTTGATATTAACTTGAATTTTCAAGATACTAACTTACATTATCAAGATATTTACTTGAAACGAAATCCCCGTTCATGGAATATTTGTTTATACCACATTGATATCAAATCTGTTAACGACAATTCATCAATCTAAATGTTAAAACGATTTTCATAACAAGACGAGTTTATCTATTATGAATGTTTATTCGACATACTACTTGTATGAAATACACTGTTTAAAGCGAGAATTTCATATTTTCTGAGAAAGTCAAACATAATTATTTCAATTCTTTTGCTCAATAGGTTGTCAACTCACTATTATACTATCATAGACATTATTTCCCACACTTAAAATTCATTGACACCGGAAATAATAACATAATTACCTCCCTTTTTTCCTATTCCCCCAATGGAATAGCTATCTTCAAACGTTTGAATTTGAATTTGAAAATGATATTTTTGCCAATTTTTTACCTGGCAAGAGTGTATTATAGGATTAATAGGATTATTCTTTAACAGGGTAGGACTGTTTATAGATATTATCTATTTTAAGGCTTTATTTTAATACATTTTAAAAACATAACTTAAAAATATGAAATTGCAACTTTAAGTTAAGCGTGGGGTTGTCCTTAACCAGAAACCATTTCCTGTAGTATGCTAAGGGCATACAGTGAGATCTAGTATTACTTAAGATGTATGGATCAAAATGTTAATAACAAAACCCAGTCTTTCATATTGAGTTCTTTTGTACAATTTGGAAAATGGCAGATCACTAACTATATTTCACGTACTAATGCCTAGGTCAGACTAGGGAAAAATCATCGGCGATATGGAAATAAACAAATTTCCTCCCAATGGCTGCCGATGTTTTTGCCCAAGAAACGGAGTAGTCCCATGAGAAATAGAACTTATTAAGCATTCGGGGTGGTCTGGTGAATGTGCACTGATGCTTCGACTATGTTCAAAAAACTTCTAGGAATGCCCCCCCCCCCCAAACGAGCAATTGCCGTGAATCATTGGGGATGGCTCCCAAAAATCGTGAAAGCTCCGGGGTACCTTCGCCGATAATCAACATCATCGGGTGAATATTCATGTCGGGAGATCTCAGTCTCTAGCGTGGTGGCATATCGTCGGCACTTATGCCTAGGTCCTACTCGGCATTTTTTCATCGGCGATATACTACCGATGGAAATTGATGATCCCGATCAGGGAACAGGTTACCCGGTGTGCAGGGGAAGCTTCGGGGTCGTCGTGAGCCATGTGGAACCATCAGGAGGCCTCAGGAGAACTGCAAAAAATTTCAAAGCTTGCACTGAATTTTTTTCCGATGTGTTTTCGACGTTTTGTCGGGAAAACTGGCCGGGCAGGTCCCGATCATATTTTTTTTCCCGAAGCATCCCCGATTCAAATATCCTCAAAGCTCCCCTGATAAGTCAGCAAGACATCGCCGATCCTTCGGTGATGCCTTTGGGAAGTTTCGGGGTCGTCGCGAGTCATATGGAACCATCGCGAGGCCTCGGGACAGGAAAGCTCCGGGGAGGCTTCCGTGAAATACTTTTCCCCCGAGGCATCCCCGATTTAAATACCTTCAAAGGTCCCCTGATACTTCAGCAAGACATCGCCTTGTGGTTCTGGAAAGCTCCGGGGATGCCTCCCCGGTCTGTTTTCTTGACAAGCATCGAAACTTTTCGCAGTTCTCCCGTGGCCTCCCGATGGGTCCACATGGCTCGCGATGCCACAGGAGCTCCCCTTGGACACCTAGCTATTCCCGACGCCTCCCGAGGCTTATCAATTTCTATCTATAGCACATCCGCAAGGCAAAAATTGCCCAGTGGTACCTACGCATTATATAATACAATTGTAACTGGCTTCATATGCCCTAACAAGTGTCACTACTTGAAATTGTACGACTTATTAATATTTCAATTGTTGATTATTTATTATTATATCCTGATTATTTCTGTAATAATCTTATTAC